CCCGCAGACTTTGTAAGGTCCTGGCTGACACAGCTCCTAAGGATATTGAGGATAATTAGTACAGAAATAAATACTTTCCATGTAGAAAGATACATCAGCAGTGCATTAATAAGCAATGTCTCATAATGCAGCTAGGTGTTTAAAGTGCTGAATCTTCAATCAGTACAAAGAAAGCCTCGTAGGTGTCATGGAGTACATTAGTGTTCATGTGGACTGACAATTACCCTATGGAACCTGATAATGAATCAGTTTGTTGCAAAACTATTCCAGTAACTGATTAAATAAACCTAATCTATATTTTACTGCTAATTGGCTTTGCTTCTTTGCATGATGATAGAAAAAAATTGAGTACAGAAATGGACGAAACCTTCACAAAGTAATCATGACAAGAATAGACCGAAGGGGAAAGGAGGAGAAATTATCTTTCCAATGTTACGAGATGTTCATGAGGTTATATTTTTCAACTCTGTTTCATGACTTGCATGTACTGTTGATAAATGCTAATTTACTGAAGTCTTCCTGAGACAATGGGAAAAAAATTACTTACCGGAATTGATCAGACACAGAAACACTAAGGCAAGTATAAAACTCTCTAACAAAAAACCCACCCCAAACCAACCAAAACCTAACAAACACCACAGGTTTTCTCAGAAACGGAAATTTAGTTACCACCACCACATTCATTCCTAGAGAGAAAGCAGGATGGTGACGGGGAAAAACACGCAGAAGTACATGGATCAATTAGCAAACACAGGAGGTTCATACATGCATCCTTTCATCTAGCACAGACACCTCTCTCCTTTTCGTTATAAGGCAATATATTTGCCTTGTGGAACTTGAATTTTGAAAGGTTTATGCTAGCTCATTGTAAGACATCACTGAAGCTGTACTTTGCATTCCCCTGCAGGAAATGAACTCAAAGAATTTGCACATCTATTATGAGACAGAACTTCAAACAATGACTTTGAGTGCTGTCTTATCGTGGGCTTTGGTGTCTTTTCTGCAAGATAATAATTTTTGCAATGATTATTAGAGGACTCAAAACTCAGTAGATTTATTTCTTTTCCCTCCTAGTCTGGGAACTTGTCAAGCAGCTTACTCCATCACTGTCATGGGCACTGAATCAGACTCAACAGGTAGCATTTCACAAGCAAATTACTACACAGGGAAGCAATACGTAATCTAAGGTGTGGATTACAGGCTGTTAACTTGGCTCTGTTTCCGGCCTTGAGCAGTGGTGAGGCACTTTAGCCCTCACTTACCACTCACCTACCACAGGATTAAGTGATCAGAAGAGCTAAGGTGCTACAAAACCATCCAAAGTTTGTTTAATCTGAACTATGAGTTTCTGCCTCCTCTACAAAGGTACAAGAGCACCTCACAAGCATTTGGTATCAGACACACTGATGGCTAGATGACCTTAGCTGTGATCGTAGACCTAATGAGGCCATCGTAGCAATTAATTACAGTAGCTCATTGATGGCACTGCAGAAGTGACACCGGCAAACCTAGGCAATCATCAATGAAGAACATCGCACCTTGTGACAAAGCTCAGTTGGTTACAGCAGCACCTGGCTGGCCGAGAAGGTACTAACTATCATAACATTTCATTCTACAAGCATACGCAGAGAGGGCTAGCAGATAACCTTTGGCTCTGCTCAGAAGATCTGCAGCTTTGGGGGAACTGACACTATCTCTGCAAATGCAGAGACACACAACAGGTTTGTACATGTGTATAAACAGTAATTATACAGCACTCTGCCCAGCCTGGAGCAGATTTAAAAATATTATTAATATTGCCATGAGTCAGACCAACTCTCAGAAGGCATAGTGTAAACCTTGATATTGTTCTTCAGGAAAATAAATTGCTTCTCTGGTAACGCAGAGATCCATTAGTTTTGCTGGCCTCTTCCGTCTCCGCCAGCCAAAGAATCATAGAATCACAGACCATAAACAAAGCACACGCTGTATGGATTCTTCACTGCCAATGCGTCCAACTGCTTTAGAGCATCTAAGGGAAAGAAGCTTGGAAAGGAAATAGGATTTTTACCTCAGTAAATTTAGGGATGGAGGCCAACTAAAGCTAAGCAATTGTGCAAGATTGAACAAAAATATTATTTTTACCCGTTACATTAAACGCTTTACTTTAGGGGTCAGCTCAGTAGGCATCTTGCCCTGTAAAGCAGGACTTCTTTTTCAAGCTACTGCTTCTGAATAATTCATACTTCAATGCTCTTTGTTCTGGATTCATTAATATTCCTTCTCATGTTCATTGAAAAATTAAAAAGCAAATAAAAAATGACAATGCTAGACTAAAAGTAGTCCTTTAACCTATGCAGTGGCTACAATTAAAAAAATTTCAACAAACAGCATTCTATTCTATTTGCTACACCCACTGGAAAACTCAACACCTACTGTGTAGTAAAGATTAATCTTTAAAAAAAAAACAAACAAAAAAGAAAAAAAACACAGCTGGTGCAAGACAGTTCAGATAAATCATTCTAAGGAGTATATTGGCCACTATCAGCTTCTGTATAACCTGACATCATAGTCATAGTCTTAGAGCATTACGGACTCAGATAGGGCTTATCTACGTGGGGTAACACAACTGTTTCACACTGCGCGGAAATCTCCAACCTACGTCTGAATGAGGCCCTCTGCCCAGGCCGCTTTGCTAGATCAGAGCATCGCGCGAGTCCCACTGTCAGCCTCTGGCTCGACCAGACAGCTCAGGCTTCTCTGCCTTTTATTATACTGCTGTTTGCAGGACAAATGTAATACGTGTCTACTAGCTGAATCTTTTTAGCTACCATCCATATCTTTTAAATGAATTATATTTTAGAAGTCAAGTAAATATTTGAGATACCAAGGTAAAATTTTGAGTTCAAACATCCCTCTTCCACTCTCTTTTATCAAAACAGCTGCAGTGCTACAAATAGATAAACAGCAAATAGCTGGTAGTTTATCAACAGAACCTGTTTCTCATTTCATAGATCCGATTTCTCAAGGTGCAGTTTGACGCAAAAAAGCCAAAAAGCAAACAAAAAAAAACTGACACCTGAACAGATTGTAGCTTAAGAAGTTGAATGAATACATACATTTTACAACTCAGCACCTCATCACTAGCCAGACTTTTCCTAGCCTAGACACCCTCCTTGGCAGACACTGCTTTGTCTTCCAGCACAGCATACGTTTCTGACCAAGGGCAGGGATGAAGACAGAGCTGGATTCCTTCCATCTGTGAGAGCTGTATCAGGAAAATTATGTGACTTCCATTATACCTTAAGATAACCAGACTAAAAAAAAAAAAGCAAGGTAATGACCAAACACCAGTTATTCAAAATTTTTGCCTCACCTGCCTCTGTACTAAAGATCTATCAGATCTGTGCTAACACAATGGGGTCATACTCTGTCATCCTCCACAGTCTGGGTACCCCAGTAACCCTGATGAGGCCACATAGTCAGCTGCAGAATAACTAGTGGTTGCCCAGTTAACTGAAAATGACACTGACCCCAAGCCAAATTAATGTAAATTTTAAAATAAAGAGTTTATTCAGAGAGTCCAAAACAGACAACACAGTTGCCAAGGGTTATCAAATACCAAGGTGTAGAAGTGAAAAAGAGATATGAGTAAATCAATATAATAAGGTTAAATCTTCCTTGTCCCAACTGATTTGCTGCTGTCAAAAGCCGAATATCTCAAGGCTCCAGTCTTGCTACAGCTTACAAATCAGGTTGCAGTTGTTAGGAAGAGCTCTTCCGGCAGAGAGAAACACCACCTCCTTTGGAGGTGCATGTGCCCTGTAATACCCAATCTTCCTCCAGACTGACTTACATCACTTCCCTGAAACTTGTTCTAACCCTTCCTTATCCAGAAGGCACATTAATCACACATCTTGACTACAATAAGCCTTATGTCACCTCCTTGAGATTGTACTGGTTATTAAACCAGACCTTGTACCATTAACCTGTGCAGAAGCAATTGATCAACTGCTGTATATTGGACTTTATTTCAGCTGTTCCTAAATGGATAAAACAACCGTGAGACATTTTGAAACTTGCTAAAAGCATCATCTGAATCAACCAAGCACGGTGGCAGCAGTGCTTGGCATCCTTGCTCAAGCATATTTGCAGCGGGACCCTGAGGGCAGACAAAGCAGGAAAACCAGGACAGCAAGACGAGTAAGGCAGAGAACAGCAGGAACCTTCACACTTACAGTCTTAACCTCCCCTGCCTCCTGGTTGGGGGAAGTGGGACAGAGTGTGTCCCACAATAAACAAGCCATGATCTTAACGTCAATATTTAACGTTATCTTAATGTCATCTTAATGTCAATGTCAATTGGGTGGGGTAATACCTAGTGATTCAATTGGTTCTTCCTTTTTATATTCTTAAATACATGAATCAAAGGTCATACGTCAATACCAACTAAGAAATTCATATTTCTGTTTCACCCACCACAGAGATGCACATCTCCATTATACCAAGCAGCAGTTCTCCTGTAAGGAAGGGAGTCGGCACCGCCTTGCATCAAGAAATGATACAGCTCTCACCTCTTCCTTTTGTGATTCACTGTGCACACTCCACTATGAAATGAGCCTTACGCTGACCTTTATCTCCGACTGATACGTTAACTGACACACTTAGTACAAGCATCTACATGGGATAAACACATGTTGCTCTTCAGTGCCTCTTGACTGAAACAAGATAATAGCAACAAATAGTCTTTTCAGGGACTAATGACTAATGCTTCCTTTTCGAGGCAGGAGGGGAATCTTTCTCCTAAGGTCTGTAACAATCCTGAATGGAATAACATGTCAAGTCCCTTCTGAAAAGTGCTTCTTCAGGATATTTTGAGAGTGAAACATAGACGGATCAGGAAAAGCAATTCCACAATTTACATCACTTCAGCGAGACTCAGTCCTTGTAGTGAATGAGCAGTTTGCCATTGTATCAAAGCTAGAATTTCACCATCTATTCCTATAGTAAGTATATCTCACCTTGATTTTCTTTTCTTTAGCACATACAACGTGGCACAAAGCATACATGACTTTTCCAGTTACACCTCTCAATTGCGTCCACAGAAAAAGATCACAGTTGCTTGCAAAACAAACACGTAAAACTTGCAAAAAATCAAGAGGACTTACAGGATCGGTCAGTTCTGGCAAGCTCGCTTGATAGGTGAGAGGTCTACAGTCACGAGTGTTATTCACCAAGACACAAGGAAGAAACATTGGTCCCAAATCATCCCCATCAAGCACGTCTACTGTCAGGGTGGTTGTACTTGTCCTTCGCTCATTAAGATTTTGGGCTCGATCCTATGGAGTAAATGAGTTACATTTGGTGAGTCTTTTTGAATTCAAAAATCTACAAAAATGTTTAAAGTTAAAGCTAAGGGCAAAACATATAAAAACCATAATTATACAGGTTCTAGGAAATAGCTCATTACAGAAACTTCAGCCCCAGAGCTACAGCTTTTAATTTCATAAAGGCTCAGAAATACAATTAAGAGGTAAAAGTTTACCTCTTGAATTAAGAAATACTGCCAGACATCTATCACTCAGAAGTAATACAGTTTTGAGAAATTAATTCTCAGGAAATGTATGAAAAGAAGATATGTCTTGTTAAATTTATAAAAATGCAGCATATTTGTAGAAGATAACAAGTCCCTCATGCCTTACTTATAATCTGAAACGCACTCTTACGTTACCTCGTGTAGCTCTACCAAATCCTATCTATAAATGAAAGGACTTTCACTTACAGAAATGGAAAGCATAAACTGTAACTTTTTCTCTTCTAATTGCCAGTGGAGAAGCCCTGAACTTTAATGCTCAATCCACCTCTGTATGCCACAATTTAAGAAAGATTTAGCACCTCCCTTCCCCAACACAAACCCCCCCCCAAACCCAACAACAACAAAAACCCCAACAAAAACAAACCAACCAAACAAAAAAAATTAGCCAGAGGACAGCAATGAGATTGGTCTAATATCTCCAGACAGTACTCCATGTGGAAAACCAATTTGTCTAGAGAATGAGTTATACCATTCATGTCTTAAAGGTTGAAGAACACTTTTGTCAACAATAAAGCAGTTACAATGCTGCACCCAAAAAAGTCTCCATGCTGCACAACAGGGTCTTTTCAATGTATCATGATTTGGGTTTTGTTGCTTTTTTCTTTTAAAATTCTCTGGGTACATGAGACACCATTGACTACTGCAACTTCTTTATTGTCTCCTGTTTTTCTTTCCAGATGGTACAAAATAAAGCTACGCTTTCCCAAACTGTGGGAATCACCCGGACTATTTTTATACACTGAACAATGTACACACTGGCAACAGTTCACCTTTTCCTTCTTCTTTTGTTATTATAGTGAAGAAACAGTGGACTATCCAATATTTTATTTTTTTTTTTGAAACAGTCAAAAATATTTCCATTTTCACAGAGGAACTGTTGCGATAGCTTTTCTTTACAAAAATAAAATCCTACGGGGGGAATATAGGCCATTAGCTATGTCCTTCCCTCCTGTCTAGGATAATATTGACAGAAAAAAGTGATTATTTTTTTTTTTTTTAAAAAGTATTTATGCTGTTTAAAGTCATCATCTGTGTAAGAGGAATAGGTCATTGCTCTAAATCAGATTGGATACATATATTTTTCCTGCTTTGCAGTCTACTCAGTTCTTGGAACTGTTTTACATTTACAGTTACTAAATACAGGAATTTCTGCATTCAGCTTTCTTCATGGTCAATGATGAAAACCAATACAAACTACAAGGAGCAGCCTTCATCATCAGCTAATCTTTTTTTACATTCCCCCATTATGTGCCTTTGAGTAATACTGGATCAAAGCACAGATACAGAGTAATTAATTTCATGTAGTACCTTCAGGATGCAAGAACAAGAAACGATCACTGCTAATCAGTAGAACAGAAGTATGATCGCATAGTACATGTAACAGAGTTAAATGCAGCTTACAATATTTTGTAAAATAAAAAAAAATATAAAAGGGTGCACAAGAGACAAACTCCTAAAAAAGCTGGTATATAGAGCTTATAGTCTTTCTTTGAGAACTGGTTTCTCATCTGTGAGCACTCAAAGCTTTAGTGAGCTCAGTTCCCAACTGAGTATGTTCAAGAAAAGACATGGCCTCACAAACCATTTCAATCATGCAAGCTGCCCCATTACGTATAAACATGAAACAGGAGTTATCAGCACAGCTCTCATCCCAAACCCAGTATCACAAAGACGACGATTTACTGTGTAAAGACGTATATTGAAAGGAATCAATACAAGATTTCTTTGTAGTACTGCCACTATGTATCCCAAGCTGTGCCTTCACCAGTAGCTGCTGCAGCGTGGCAGCGCTCATGCAAGGTGCTTGCCTTTCTTGTGAAAAATGTGACCTGCTCAACTACCCCTAGGAGCGCAGCACCTCGTGAAACTCACAGCTCTGACATCAAAAGAAAAGAGCTGAGACTACGCAGCAGTGATCTGCAGAATAAATTATTGATAAAACAACAAGTCAAATCAGTTCTGAGCCTCCTGTATTCCTGTTCAAGAGATCAGCAAGTTATGTTATCCAGGTACAATGACTTGGTCTAATAACCAGGAAGCATTTTTAGATATAGCTACATGCAAAAAGCACTAAGACGCCCCCCCACCCCCAGCCTATCTGCTCTTGGGGGAATGCTAAACATGCCACAAAATATATAGGAAAGTGGATTGTAAAAACGTATCTACAATTCTGTGTCAGAAAGATGACAGTAACAGAAATGTGTGAATTCAGGAGCAAGGTATCTAAAGTTACTTCAGAGCATTCTCATTTTCCCACAAATGAAGCAGTATCACAACAGAGGTAAACAACAGAGGAAAAGTTTTCATTGCAGCTATTGTCAGAAGGACAAAAAGAGAAAAAAGCTTTCGTAGCCCTCAAGGGCACCAAAAAACTTCTCTGATGACAGATATATTACATATAGTTTAAACACCACTGTTGTTCTTGGTATGCATAATCCACTGCCAGTGACTGTAAAAATCTCTATATATGCTTGCAATAGGACTTGAAAGAAAAATCATCTCTTTATAGGAAAATGCATTTCAAACCTGAAGGATACAACTAAATTGCACCCATTAAACTCATCTGAGATTAAATTAGCATCACTAGATTTGTTAGAAAATGAACACTTCGTGACACTTGAACGCACTTTTCTGCATGGGCTGTACTTCGGATCTGCAACTTGTTACTTGGGCCAAAAAGGTTGTCTTGTCACACACACGGAGCAAGCTTTTTTAACCAGTAATAATATGTCTAAGCTTTCAACAACCTAGATAAATCTTAAATAAGGTCTTCAGCAGAAGAATATTATCAAACCTGATATTTCAGCGAGACTTTTCCTTTCCTTGGAAAAATCTAAATCTGCAAACTAAAATCCCACCAAATCAGTGGCATAAATGGCCATTAAGAGATCTATACTTACATTTGCTTGAACAATGACAAAATAACGTGTCTTTTCTTCATAATTTAGTCTTTCCCGTAGAACTACTGCTCCGGATAAAGTAAGAGGAATATCAAAGGTCCTGTTGGAAGTCTGCAAAAGTTAAAACAGTATGATACAAATGAACATGCTTCAAAGTTAAAAAGCATTTCAGATAGGCCACAACGAGATGATTGATTAGATGGTGTACCAAAATTGCATATGCCTTCCAGATTTAAAGTTTTCTGTTTTCCCCCCACCCAATTTACTCCCTAAGAACCCCAGAATAAATAATCTGTACGTAACAGAACTCTCTGATTCTTTGCATATACCTTATTGCTTCCAACCACAAACTGAAGTCTAACTATCCTGCTTCTTGCAGATTTGCCATGCTGAATTTCCAGTGGTGTGCTCAGAAAAGCTTTCCCTCTTTGTCAGCTGAGAAGTTCAGGTCTTCAGTTTCTACAGTTTGGCTTGCCTTCATCTATTTTTTTCCTTACTATCGTAGAAAGTATCAAGCATTAGAGATCAAGAAATCCACATCATTGTACTTATGTTCACTTTATTCTGGCTTTCACGACGGCAATGAAGTAGTAAACGTGGAGAACAACAACGCTACGCACTCAGGTGCCCGCTATGCACATGTTCATACACTAGTAAATTCAGGTTTCAGGGTAAATCAGGTGAAATTCAATTTGTCCTGCGTATTTGCTTAGACAGACAGAAATTACAAAGCCGTGGCACCAAATGGCAGGAGGGTACTGCGCTGGGGTGCGCACACCTTTAAACGATTCACTTTGACACACGTTTCTGATGTGAGATCCAGTTCCAATTCTATTATCAAATTAATCACAGCAAAAAAATCCTTCCATGCTCCAATCTACCAAATGTAGAATACAGTTAACATTTAAGTATGTTGAGTGGGTAACAGCAATACAATATTCCAAAATCTATCCACAGAAAACACTGCAGAGGTACAGAGTACTGTTCTTTCCTTAGTTAACAGAACAAGGCCTTTTTCCTGTAAAAGTCAAACCATCTGCCAAAATTGCAGTTTGTTTTTCAAAGAAATAGTAACGATTGTTAAATTCACTATGTTGCAGGTATTTGTGGTGCGCAAACAGGATTGGAAAGTACATCACATAGTCTGCTAAATAACTGGAGACACTGTTTGCTTATGTCTGAGTTTGGCACTGGTCATTTGAGATAAATACATAGTTCCAACTGGGAAAAAACTGGTAACAATATATATACCGAGGCAAAACAGGTAACTAGAAACAGACTCTCACTGTGGGAAGAAGGAAGACCCAAGTAGGGCTGGGTTGACAGCTTTTGCCCCCCTCTTCCCTTCTTTTAATGGTATTTGCACAAACAAGCAAGCAGGTCATGAACTATGAAGTTATGGGTAATATCTTTGACTGCTGTACAAGATGATGCCATGTGTGCACGCATGCACACGCAAACACACATATATGTGCCACTTCTAATTCACCAGGAAGATTCTCCTAACTGCTTTAGCCCACCTAGCTCTGATTTAAAAGGCCAGACACAGCTGGAAAAGACTGCAGCTGAGGATCAGCCAAGGCACTCTCAAAGTAACTGCCCTTTTCTTGGCAGATCTTGGCATGGGGATGCACATAAGCAGAACTGTACTATCTGAACCGTTAGGAAGGATCAGCACAATTTCAGCAAAAAACTTTAACCTCTTCCCAAACTGTTTATACCTGGAGTACCCTCTGGCTCCAACACAGCACAGAAATGCAATCGTTCAGCGGTGATCTAAAGCTGAACTTCCAGTCATGAGTCACAGCTCCTGAAGGTACCACATCAGATCAACCCTGTGATCCCCCTGCAAACTCCATTTCTGCTGCAACCCCAACGGTAATGAAGCTCCAAGGCAATTAAAAGATGTGCACAGCACCATCACATCTCAATTGCATTTCCATCCAACACTGAAATGAGCCAGCGCACACTGGAAGTCGGGAAGATCAAGATCCTGCTTTGTCAACTGCAAGAGAACAAAACCAGTTCTCCTCTCACTTCAAAACAGAGACAACAAAATGCTTTGGTACAGCAGTCTTCACAACTTAGAACATTTGTCAGCCCATCGTCTTGAATATGGGCCGACAAATTTAAAATGGGGAAAGCCGCCAGGATAGCAATTCAGTTGACTCCCCAGAGAGTTGGTATGTGAAAAAAAATCAGTATAGCAAAAGCATTCTGCGTATTCCCCAACTCCAGATAAACTCTAATTTTTTAATTTTGAATCCTCACCAAACACAAGACAATGAATCTCAGTAAAATCAGCTAGTAAGGACAGACTGCCGAACTTGTTTTGAGTCTTAATAACCTTCAGGTATAAATAGAGCCCTCCGGGATGTAACAATTCACTCTGCATTAGGAGACAAAATCTTTTGGGCAAGTTAATTGACTCGATCCCTAGCTTTTAATGGCTAAGAGAAGTTTTATGGCATTCCTTTACATGATAGCTACAGCCCAGCCCTATGTCAAGTATGATTTGCATCCATTTTTCTACTTGACTTTTGTGTATCTTCCCAATTAAACAACAAAATAATGAAGTTAAATTGGATTTCTAGCAAAACACCTCTTGGTTTTACATTTTTTTTTTTTTTTCAAATGCCTAAATTAGTCTACAGTGAAACTTATGAGCTATAATCGGTCTGCTTTTTCTAAGGCAGGAGACTGTCACTGATGTCAAATAACACTGCAGGCAACTTCATCACACAATATTGGGGGATCCCAGAAGAAGAAAAATACAGATATTTCACACTAAGCTGCACACATCATTTTTGAGCCTGATATTATTGTTTCCCAGGTTAAGGAAGGAAATCCACTCGTAGCAGATATTACGCAGTAACTTTTGGCAACTTGACAGCTGAGATGAAGCAGCTCACAATGATGAGAAGTGATCTCTATCAAGCACACGCACAAAAGGCATCTCTAGGTAAAGCAATATTATGCGCAAAAAGGCTATCTACAGAGGAAAGAATCAGATTTATTTTATCTGGAATACAAAAGTAGTAAGACAAAGACGCAATAAAGTAACTAACTACTCCAAAGAAGTTGTTCCAATCAGGAAAATCCCTCGCTGTTCTTCACAGTCACTGGGAGAACAAGAACAAGTAAGTTTCACTGAGTAAGAGACGAAAAGTTAAAGTTTTAGCAAATGTGTTTTAATTCTTCCTGTGGCAAAACACCAGACCAAGCCACTCAGGCACGCTATAATGTCCTCCCATTAGTGGTTAAGTGAACTGCTGTGCTGAACTTGAGGCCAATATGGTTGTGGGAGATGCTTTTAGAATCATTTCCCAGGATATCTTTGAGCAATATAATGCTATGACTTAACAGTAAATTAAAAGCAGCTCTTATATTTCACTGTGGTGCAATATATTTTAACAGAAATTATATTTGAAGGGATTTGGATTTTTTATTTATTATTAAGTATACCAACATATTCAATGTCTGCTAAAAAGTTTTCTTTTTAAAAAACACTTTCAATTTTCTAAAGTTATCTGGAGAAAGTATTTTCTAGAAGAGGTATTTTCTCTGGGCCAGCATTTTTCATAGTCTTTACTGAAACATAAGAAATTATTTGAGCTGTTTTTGTTAAGTACTATAAGTTAGAGGGTAAGAAAAAAGAGTGGAGAGAAAAATTCAAAGCTTGAGTGGTGTTTCTGATTGTGTGAATTTGTAACTGCTTGTCCATTCCTTTCACTCCTTCCTGCCTTCTGTTCACTTTTCAAATATTTGTGGTAGTAGAGGAGCATTTATTTATAACACTTCTGTCATGCAAACAGTTAAAAGACGATCTTCACATAACATTTTAGTACTCACTTGGAAAACCCTTGCCTTTGTTTACAAAGTTTAGGAGAGAAACTCTTCAGTCAGACATACCACCAGTACAAAGAACAGCTGAGAACGTAACATGATGAACCCATATATTGCAAGCTAATTATTTTACTCATTTAAGTAGTCTCACTGAAGTAAGTGTCATAACTCGAGTCTGCTCAAGTCTGTGCAATTTAATCTCTAAGAAATGACTGCAAACATTTAAAAAATGAAATCATTCCAAATATACACAACATATAAAGTCAGAAAATTCCCTATCTCCCAAAAACCTAACAATACAATTTCACTTTTTTCGAAAAGACATTGCCTCTTTGCAAAACAATGCTCCCGAGAAAAGGTTGTGGCTAAAGGTGCTGCAAAGTTTCTCAAGAAACCATCTCTGTCCTCAAAATATGTAGATATAATAAGTAAATATTACGTATCTACATATAGCTATGCAAAAATCAATAATTACCCCAGTGAAAAGTAAAGTAGGCTCTTATATCATTAGTTCACACTGAATTATTCCTTGATACTGATTCCTTGATCACTATTCTTCGAACTTCTGCTCCTAAAAAGTATACGCATTAAGTGTAGTTTGGTAGATACTTAAACTCTTGTTGACTTCAGTGGAAATAGGAGCGAAGCCTTTATGAGATGTACAGCTTAAATGATGCAAATTGAATCACAACTTGTGTGATTCTAATTAAACTGAAAGTCAGATTGCTGTCTTCCCACAAAACCATTTCTGCTCAAATCCCTTGAAGTAAAAGTAGGGAATTACAATGAGAGGTTACTAAGTCTACCTACTACTAAATTTTTTCCCCCAATTGAACACCTATGTCACCTTTGGGATGAACACATAATCTGGTTAGCCTGCTTAACAAACAATCACGCCAGCTGATCCACTGTAACTGTGCTCTTAGCCCATGGCAAAAGATAGCTTGGTTTGCAAAAAAGGATTGCTCTAATTACTTTGAATTTGCAATGAAAATGCATATGGACACTTCACACAAATCACCCATGTGCAAAACCTTGTTATAATAGAGAAATTCACATATCTGACCCTAAAGACAATTTATTGTAATAGTTCAAGCTTTTTGTCTCTAAAAGTATGTTTGCAAAAATAATAGGTAGGGATCATTACTATTTTATTTTAATAATATACATCCCTCTTTTTTTAGAGCAGTGATCTTTAAATATAAATGGCTTCATAAGAAAAGTCAGCATGTCTCTTTTGAGAGTAACTTAGCCATGCCTATGAATATTTCCTAGCTGTGAATCTATTAGATACAGAAGCGTAGGAGTAAATACAACCACCTACCGCCGCCTGAAAAGGCATGCCAAAACCAAGATGAAGTGTGTGAACAACACTGGAAAAGACAGGGCATTATCACTGATTGATACTGAAGTAATTAAGCTGCTAATGCATGGCAATTAAAGGGAAGGTAAATTCAGCTGTGTTTACAGGACAAGCAAGGCTCACAGGCAGAGAGGATAGCCCACATAATGAAGGAAAGAATTTCTTTATTAAGTCCAACAGCTTCAAGGTGTGTGTGTGTGTGTATATCTATATATACACACACAAACACACCTGAAAGAAGAAAGAAGCTAAATGCACTTACCTTGTCATTAGGATTGTACTGGATGACATATTCAATCTGGCCATTCGGACCATCATCAATGTCAGTAGCACCATTGTTTCCAGAAAATCCTGTAAAGATGGTTGTTCCAACTGGAGTTAACTGCAAGAAGAGAGACAAACAGAAACCCATTAAAACCTTAAGGTATACAAGAAACAATTAAAGAACCATTTGCAAAGTCTCTCTCCTTTTTCTCCCCCCATAGCTCTGGTCTAAATGCAAGGCTGACATTCTCTCCTCCCCTTTGGCCTGGAACCTCATGTATGAGCAACTACTTAGACATGACGTACTCAGAATTTATTTTAACTGATGCCAAGCATCACATAGAGAGTGAAACAGTGAAACCAATTTCCATTTTTATTGCACAGATCGTCTGCATCAGGACAGAATCTCATTTGCTTCAAAAAAGATGAAGATAAAAAAAAAAACCTTAAAACTGAAAGAATTAATAAATATAAATAGATTAATAAAAATAAAAGCTACTTTTTCAGACTCAGGAAGGAAAATAAAGATGAGCTGCAAAAGTAAACAGAACTTACTTAGCAGTGTCTTCATGACAAGGTGACTAGCACCAAATATTATTACATGCAAACATAGCCACCCAGAGAGCTTTAGGGCTTTAAACAAACACGAGAACGATACTGTTTCTCCAATATTTTGTTGGCAGCAATTGAATACCCATAAAATTCTATTTGGAAAGTGAATCAATTTATAATTATCCTAGCATAGATAAACAGCATGAAATCAAGACCCATTGAAATCAAGGACATTAGTCCAAATGACTTCTTGGGAGTCATCATTGCCAAATTTTAATATTCAGAAAACTTTGTGAGTAATCAACCCAAAAGAGAAAAACAAATGAACAAACAGTTCTGGATTCCACATACGTATTGCTCCTAGCCATACTTCCTGCTGCTGCTCTCATCACACCCCAATTTTTGGCCCTTGAATTCAGAGAGATGCACAGAACCCTCTTTTTTCCTCCAAGTTTTACATTAAGTTGTTGCACATCTTTAAACCTACGGGGTCTAAAAAGGTTTGAAATGCTGTAAAAAGAGAAGGTGGCAAAGGACAAAGCGTCATTCAAACACTTGTTGAAAATGTGGATGTTATTTCACTTTCCTATTTTGTAGTTCACACCATAAAGCAAATCATTAACTGCCCATTTCCTCCTATAGTCATAGATCCTGGTCTTATTTTATTTATGAAGCTGCTAATTACCTGAAGAGTTTAATGGCTGACAGAGTTCTCTGAGAAATATTTTCAGGGCCTAGAATACTGTATCTTCAAAATAAAACCCACCAATTCAAAGCCTTTTTTTATGACAAAACAGGTAGGGCTTAATTTACAATACTTATTCGCATTATCTACCCTTATGCCACATTAACTATGTACATTTATGTTTTGCTACCAACTTGACTTGCTTACTACTGGTATAGATAGTAGCACCTGTGGGTGTAGGAAGCTGACTGTTCCCCCGTGCCTACTAATTGCGAGGTAATTACCTCACAGAGAGTCTCTGCCTTGTACCTCTGTACAGCAGTGGCCTTTGAGAATTCAGGAGAGCAATCATTTCAGAAACATAAGCCTTGCCTGACAGTATAAAATTAAACTGTCATAAAGCAAGGAGGATAACTTACAGGTTAATGACAAAGTGCCTGTGTAGTGGAGAAGGTGCAAGGCCAGGCTGGATGGGGCTTTGTGCACCCTGGTCTTGTGGAGGGTGTCTCTGCCCATGGCAGGAGGGGGGGCTAGATGGGCTTTCAGGTCTCTTCCCACCCCGCCAACCCAATTTTATTTTTTTTTTTTTAAGGGGCTAGAAGAACAAAACAACCTGAAACCCAATTTGGAAAATTTACAGGAGGGTTTGTAGTTTTTACCTCACTAATGGTGGGCTGGAAGCCCGCCCAGGTGCCCTCTCATCCCCCTCCTCAACAGCACAAGAGAGAAAAATGGGATGAACATGCTCAAGGGTTGAGACAGGCAGATCACTCACCCACTACTCTCACAGGCAGAACAGACTCGACTTGGGAAAAACTAATTTAACTTGCTGCCAGTTAAAAACAGATTTGGATGGTGACAAATGAAGACAAAACAGCACCTTCCCCTATCCCACCCCTTTTCCCGAGGCTAAGCTGCACTCCTCTCCTCACGACTTTTTCCTCAGTCTTCGCTGCCTCACGGCATTTTCCCCTTCCTTAAATCCGCTTCCCTGGAGGGGCCACCAGCCCTGCTAAGGGACTGGGCTGTGCCCTGTGCTGGGGCCCCTGGAACCGGCTGGAACCAGCCGTGCCCCGCCCAAGCCACCCCCAGCCTCTCCTCACAGAGACCCCTCAGCTCCTGCCTGCGCACAGGCACTTAAAAAAGGACACTGGGGAAAAAAAATAAATTAAAACAAATAATCCCCAAATCCCCTGCCACTCCCTCTTTCTCAAAATTAGGCAAAAATTAACTCTTCTCACTCAACTTTCCAGCTGGCCCAAGATCTCACATCAGAAATTAGTGCAGCCGTTGGAAAAATTCAGATGAGCTCTAAACTACAAATCCCAAACTCAGCTTCTAATCACTTGAGAGGGGCACTGAGCATTCAAAGCTGCACAATGTTTTTACACTGAGATCCCAACATTACAATGATTTACCATTAGCCAGCAATATCACTTTTACCCACAATTTGCAAGGGTTTGCTGACAGGCTTCTGTCACCATTCACTTTATTAAAGAGAAACTCAGTTGGCCTTACAAAATGTGACCAATATATATAGTACATATACTGTTCTTTATCAACATGAATAATCCCATTGTTCTTGTTTAAATAAGGACTACTTATTTAATTATGAATACTTACTCCTCACAAACAGCTTGTGAGGAACTGCACTCCTAGGAAGACAGACAGGTAACATGGGAAAGGCAGACGTATTTTTCTAGCGAGTATTTTGGGGGTATGTAAAACACGTACCCGAAAGCCAAAAGAGCAGGCTGAAAGGCTGGGGTTGATCTCATCGAGATGGTTCTGTATTGTATACTACAAAACATATATAATTTCCCAAAGCAGTGATCAAATTAATTCTTTAGTAGATGCACATACTCTCTAGACAGCACTGACTCACCTAGAGCTCACCCCACCCCACTATGTCCGCCTGTAGCGGAGACATTCTGCACAGAACCCATTTTCCCAGTTTCCAACTCAGTTCATTCTCTGAAAAATCTTCCACTGCCAATTCTTCAGGGAGATGGGGGAGGGGGTTCCTGGCTCCTCTGCTTTGCTACCTTTCAGAAGGACCCAAAAATGGCTCCAGAAAGTGTTGAACATCACAACCTCAGTTTTCTCCTTCCGATTAGACACGCCTCCTTCAGAGAATAGTGAGGAGTCCTGTTTCTCCATATTAAACTCATTATCTCCTACAGAAAGGGACTGAAGTTATGTGATAAACTCTTTGACCACGCTGAGTGTCCTACCTTATGCAAAATAAAATGTTAGGAACTGTACAGAAAAATAAATAGATGAACAGTAGTGACAGGCTGAGGATAATGATCTCTGTGGGAATTCACTGTGGTGAAAAAGAACTATGATGACAAGAAACAAGTAAGATTTCAAAAGAATGCAATTAAACAAATAGAGAGGAAATGCACACAATAAATCTTATTCTTCCACAGTCAACAGCTGTAATGCTTAAAAATTTCCTTCAACATGATTTATGTCTATTAGAAGTCTAGATGCAGACAGGAATGTTCAATGCTTCCATAAAACATTTTGAAAATAAATTTTGCTATTATTGCCTATTTACAAAGTTAAAAATGAATAATTTTTCACAGTGGCCCTGAACAGCAGAGCAAAGTAAGATTTACAGTTAATCATTCTGAGCTAATATTCTTTTGATGATGTCTACCTGCAGAGATTCATTATTTCAATACCACAAGGAAAAAAAAGATATGAATAATTACACCAAAAGAAATGAAAATTCAGCACAAGTTATAATTCTCAACAGCCCAAAGCCAAAGTTTTAAGATGACTGACATTCAAGAAACACATTTTGCAAAGGATTCCCATCTCTGCCAAGTTACGGGGGTGGGGGGGGAACAAACAAAAAAAACCTAAAACCCCCTAAAAACAAAACAACTCCAAAATTTTGGTCTACAAGCAGCTATAAGGTTACGTACATTTAATAAAGTGATCCTGACTTCAAACCATATTCTAGTAACTCCACTACCATTTCCAAATGGTTATTAACACCATTTATTATGGTGAATAAAACCTGTTATTAAACGCTCCTGAGCTTACCAACACCTCTGTAGGACTCAGGGAAGGCTCATGTGACCAAACAACACACAAATAAGTCAGTCTTCTAAAACTCAGGCCATGCAGAATTAGAGCTGTGTTACCCGAGATAAAATTTATTACGGTAAGTTGCATTTAACACAAAACACAGACAACCACAACTGTGCCTCAGCAGCACAAGATTTTAGTTTCTAGTCCCTGTATTAGGTTCTAAGTATTTAAAGCCATCATGGCAATGCCATGATTTGCCTGTAGAGCATTAACCAAGCTGCATAATTCCTCTGAATTTCAACCTAGCTACAGAATTTTGTTTTAATATACTGCAATAACTCCTGTCTTTAAGTCACTAATACGCATGGTCAAATTTAGCCCCAGGCTAATGTCATTTTGTCAGGATTTTTTTCTAAATTAATTATGATGTGACGTTTTCGTATGAATAAAAATATGTAACACACAAAACAAAGGAAATAATTAGAAATACTCTGCAGGGTTATCATAAAAATTAACATTAACCTTAACCCATTTTTACTTTTAAGAGGAGATCCATAATGCTGCGGATAGCAGTTGGATTTGCTTTTAGCCGAGACACTTAACATTCTTTGTCTTGAAAAAACCATGAGAAACTTCTTCCTAAACGGTAGCACCCCTGTAAAGGTCAACAGCTTAATTACAACCTCATTTTCTTGACTATAGCTTATGCACAAAACATCAGTTAATTTTAAGCAGATGGTTATTTTGTGTCCACGTTAGCCCCCTGCTATGACTACTGAGGCCCAGAGAGATTAGAGATGATTTATATGTATAGATACAAACTTATACACACAAGT